TTTTCATGTAGGTAGTTAGACCTGTGTAGTCTACCCATCCAAACGTTTATACTGTAGTAATATCATTTGTTTACTTTCAGGAGCCCAAAAGCAAAGTCTCATTAGTCGGTTCTCTTCTGTGTGGTACCTATCTGTTTGCAGGTAAAATTAACAAACAACGTTGAAATAGACGTTAGCTACTAGTTTGAGGACAGAGGTTTTTTTCTGATACCCCCCCCCGTCCCCCCCCCCCCCACACACACACACACCTTCCGCCCTCCCCTCCCCCTGATGAATTAAAACAAAAATATACAATTTATAAAGTAAATCCAAAGTTCGCCGAACACCCCTCACACCTCCCTCCGCCCGAAATTTAAGAGCACCCCCCACCTTTGAAAGTTTCACAAGTTTCAAGTACCTCCCCCCCCCCCCCCCATCCCCCCCCCCCCCCCCCCCCCCGACATGGAGTAAATTTTCTGAAAGAACCATGTAGTTTAAGGAGATAGACCAATATTTCTCTTTCTGTTTTTAGAAGCCAATTTTAAAAGTCAAATAAGCGTCATTATTTTAGTCTTTATTTACAAGCTATTCAAATATTTAGTACTTATTTAGATGCTCATTTTAAATTTAACCATTTTTATTCTAGGTCCTATTGTAAGTGGAATGACCAATAAGTTTGGATGTAGGCCAGTAATAATAGCCGGTAGCCTGATTGCTACTGTAGCCTTCATACTAGCCTGCTTCTCCACGAGTTTGGTCATGCTCATCATCACCTATGGTGTCATTGGAGGTAAGTTTTTGAGTTAGTAAAATCAAAATGACAGTTTTCAGCAGTTCTAGGTCTAAGTGTAAGGGAGATAACTCTAAGAATATTTGTGATAAAGAAACTGTCTTCACCGATGGCCTTAACGTTACAAGTACATTATTACTACAAAAATAAGAAGTACTAAATCTGGAAGAGATCGCCCACGTTTACAACCGATCAGAATAGTAGAACGTTCTGATCACTGTTAATTTTTGTAAAACATTATTTATTACCTACACCCTTGTATGAAACATCTTTCCAAAAATATGAAAAAATGATTACACAATATTCTAGGTAATAGAATATAGATCTTAGGCTAATAGTACATCTATATAAAAAATTATGAACATTTGAGTGAAGTTGAGGTTTAATTAATATAATTTTGATATTAGGTTAACAAAAATATAAAAAACATAATTGTGATATTCACTTTGATAATACAATAGTACAGTAATTAGATTTTGGGCAATTAACATGATTATTTCCCTTGCAGCCTCTTAAATTTTGTAAATCTTAAATAAATACTCTCACATTAAAAAAAAAAAAATGATCATAATGATTATTGTACATTTTATGAGTATTCATTAAGTTCAAATTATAAATAAATAGCCTGCAAATAAGCTTACAATATGTTTTTTAATCTTTTTTTTTTTAATGAAGACCTACTCTTTAGGTTTAGAAATGGTAAAATCGTGTAGTGATTGTAAAATATTACAGATAATTAATATTATTTAATTTACCTTAGAGATTAAGATGATGTTTAATCCTAGTTTTTTTTTTTACTCATTAACAAAATGTATACAATATTTTCCCATGGTAACCAGGGTTTGGACTGGGTATGATCTATCTCCCCGCCATTGTCAGTGTGGGCTACTACTTTGAGAAGAAACGAGCTTTTGCCACAGGCATAGCTGTGGCTGGATCAGGGCTCGGGACTTTCATCTTCCCACCCCTCAGTGAATTTCTGATCAATGAGCTTACCTGGCAAGGGGGTCTCTTAATCATCGCAGGGATAATTTTAAACGTAAGTTTTGTAGGGTCTCTTAATCATTGCAAGGATAATCTTAAACGTAAATATTGTAGGGTCTCTTAATCATCGCAGGGATAATCTTAAATGTAAGTAAATGTAATTAAGTATTCATCATATTTGAAAATCATCTTGCTGTAAAAACAATGTTTAAGTTCATATTTTTTAATTTTTAAAAGTTGATAGATATTTTTAGTAAAGTTCTCATTTATTTTGCATTTTAGTTTGCGTCAGATCATTTTAGAAATATTTTCAATGCTGTAAAAGTAATATTGTTACTTTAATTACTAGAAATATTAAAACTGTAATATAATTATATGGAAAAAGTAATTTTAAACTTTCGTTTTTAATAAAACCTAAATTTAAGTCTCCAATTTTTAAATATTTAATCACATCACAATCAACTTGTTAATATCCCTATAGGGCTGCCTCTGTGGGGCATTAATGAGACCCTTGAAGCCACAGAAACCTAAACCTAGAGATAAACCTAGGTCTAAAACCTTGCTGGACAGGATCAAAGAGAACACGCACAGAGAAAGGTTTGTAGGTTTTTCCAGCTCATTTAAATCCTGGTGTGAAGTTTTTTTCCCTAGTTTTTCATGCTTGCAGTTTGGTGAAGTTTTGATCTAAACATGCTTGCAGTTTGGTGAAGTTTTGATCTAAACAAGCTTGCAGTTTGGTGAAGTTTTGATCTAAACATGTTTGCAGTTTGGTTAAGGTTTAAAATAAACATGTTTGCAGTTTGGAGAAGATTTGATCTAAACATGCTTGCAGTTTAATGAAGTTTTGATCTAAACATGCTTGCATTTTGGTGAAGTTTTGATCTAAACATGCTTGCAGTTTGGTGAAGTTTTGATCTAAACATGCTTGCAGTTTGGTGAAGTTTTGATCTAAACATGCTTGCAGTCTGGTGAAGTTTTCTAGTTTGCATTTAGGTGGTTTCTGATTGGTCTAGATATCTCTCCTATGTCTGCCTGAGCTTGGTGTAAAGATTCTTCATATTATTTTTGGTATGAAAAATATTTTTCTTCAAAATAACACAGAAAGTTAATCCTAAGTGGTCATCCATCAATGACGTCACGCTTTTTTTGACGATTTTTACCTCCCCCCTCCATCACACGTCGTCACAAAAAGCCAGACCCCCCCCTCCCACCCTAAAATGACGTCACACCTCAACCTACAACGGCCCCTCAAAATTGCAGTTGAATTTTTTTAAAACATCCATATTTTTCTAAAATCTTGTCTAAACTATTACAATTTATTAAAACAGTTATCTAAAATGCGAAATAACGTCTAAAATTCGTTTTCTAACATTGCTTTTTATAATGCAAAAATGTGACGTTGCAACATCTGAACCCCCCCCTCCCCCTCATCACACATCGTCACAAAATTACGGACCCCCCCTCCCCCCACGAGTGTGACGTCATTTATGGATGACCCCTAAGTAAAGACATCTGAATTTAAAAGAGGTATACAACAGCCAACAGAAATTGAGTTATCTGTTGACTTAATGAATAAGTATAGCAAACATGACCCACGATGCTTTTTTCCAAAGTTAATTTTTATATTTGAAAAAAATATCTCAGTTTATGACTTGAATGTGCAAAGTATTTATGGAATTTTTTTTTATTTAAAAACCAAAAGATGCCTTACTCTATAAAATGTGAAATAAACGTTAAATAAAATCTTAAAATAAACATTTTAACCAGAGGTTACAAAATTATTTTAAAAGTCTTTGATACAATCAAATGGTTTGTTTTGTCTTGATCCAATTTTATGAAAATCACATATTTAAGATCCTAAAATAGAAAAGTTCTAAAACAAATTTGTTTAAAATAAAATGCATTTTAGTAGAAAATGAAAATTGTTTTCTTGAAAAAGGAATGTACTAAAATCCAAGAAAAGGAAAATAAAACACCTGAGTTGATCAATAAAACTTGATTTAAAGGTTTTTAGCAAATTGGTTTATACATGCTTTTTATCTAAGCTACAAAAATCTGGTTAGACCAAGTGAGATTAAAACTTGATATGCGTGAAAAGGAAACAGTATACCACTTAAAAAGAATCATATTAAATGATTTTAGGCAAGCAAATGCAAGGCTAAAGTAAAAAAGGAATCAGAATAAAGCAGCTAATGTATAACTGTAAAATATATCTGTTTAGGTACAGGACCTCAGCAACAAAAATTAAAACTGTTTCAAGAATATATAAAACAATGAAAATAATTAGCTGCAGATAAAAAAAGCTAAAACAATAGCTGACATTGCAAGTCTTTGAAAAGTAGACAGGTATCTCCTTCTGTATAAACTTTTAATGTGTGAGAAAAATATAACAAACTTTCAATCTGTATTTAAAGCATGAATTTTTGTATTAATATTTTGTTTTAACAGCATTCAGATTTCCACAACAATTCAAATTTCGTTAACGAATTTTAATTGTATTACAGTAATTATATTTCTCTTAGTTTTTTAATTTATGTTAAATATTAAAAAATTCTGTAACAGCATGATTTGAGGTACTAATATAAACACAGAGCTACAAGAAGGTTTAGAACTACAACAGACAGCGGTGCATTTTTTATTTTAATCATACAGTCGCAGCCCGCCATTCTCACTCCCATCAGCTCATCCGTCATCCAAATCATGGGAACTCGTCCGACGCGACGAGAGATTTGTGTATTGTTTAACGTTTCCTCCCCTAGAACGGTCTCCGAGCTGGGGGACACGACCACCATCCTGCAAGGGGTCATGCAGGCTAAACTTAACCGCGAAAAAAATTTGCAAGACAATGACTCAGACCTCGGCTCTCTGCCGAGCCTTGCGTTTGTGAATCAAACGGACGGTACGTCTGACCATCGGAGGTATAGGTGAGTAGTTGGCCATACAAGACTGGATTAGTTGTTCACCTCAGGATTTACACTGCACAGTGTTATGACTAACTTTGTTGCCAGTTTAAACTAACGATAACAAGAATAACAAACATTTTTTTTGTACCTTTATAACATTTTATACTTGTGACATACCTTAATTAATTTGGTTTAACATGTCTGTTAATTTAAATTTATCCTGTTTTGTATTTTAAAAAAAATATCAAGTGAACTGATCTAGTGACTGTTCATAGATTAGTTATGTTTAGACAATTGTTCACGTAATTTTTGTTTCATGAATATGCTTACAATTTCATTTTTATTTATTTATGTCAAAATGGAAGCCTAGGTCTTAACACCAGTTGTTTTAGGCTTCTATCAAATACACTTTGTTTTTTCATTAATTTTTACCTATTTTGCTCTCCTTTTTTCACCTTTTTTTTAAAAAAAACTTTTTGTTTTGTTACTCATGTACTATGTCACTCAGATTGTTTTTTTTTTTTTACATTTGTTTTATGAATTTGTACTTTAGTACTGTAAAATATGACCAAGTTAAAAAAATAGTAATTATATAAGCCATTCTGTTTCTTGTTTCTAAAGAATAGTTAGCATTCAACTGTCTTACAAATTATAAATGGGAAATTAAAACAAAAACTAACATTAAAAGACTATTAAAAATATTTCTCTAAAAGGGATAGTATAATTTATACATGATGTTTACATACATTATATTAACATAATTTATTTACTTATACAATATTTAATATTGTACCTTTATATTTTGAACATGTATTGGTTTAGTAAGATTTAATTTTTTAATATTTAATTTAATTTAATTGTAAGTAATATTTTTAGTTATTAAAAAAACATTCTTTAAATTAGTCTGAGGAAAAATAATCAGCCATCATTAAATAATGGATGTAAGTTTTTAATACTTAGTTTTAAATGTATTCAACCTAATTTGTATACTGTAACAATTTAAAATATTTACTGAAATAACAGAACAACAGAGCCGGATAAGTTATTCACTAGAGATTGTTATTGCTCATAATATTGACTCTTGTAGTATGGCAGGGGAAGTAAATCAGAGTTATGTGAACTCCTATCCTATCTGGCAATATTGTTCAGTCTTTACAATAAATATTTTAATGTACTTCAACTTTGGAAATAACAATTTATATCTAATATTCCTAAAGATTTATAGGCCTATAGCATTCCTATAATAAATTTATATTCAAAAGATGTAATTACTAAAAATATCTTATTTACAGGTATAAAATTAGAAATAATATTAGTGTACCTATACATATATAAGTATTATACAGGCAATTGTAAAATATTTGACAACTATTTTTCTATTGAAAATTTTTAATACTAGTTTAAATGTAAAACATAACATCAAACAGAACACTTTTGATTGTTTTTGCATCCCTAAACTCACATCAAATGTTTCTACAGTGCTGCCATCACCATCGCGCCTGACCCCAGCAACCAAAAACTGTCCGTCAGCAGTGCCGGAGATTCCGCAGTGACCAGCTCCCCCGCCAGGGATGTGGCCAGTTCCCCTGGTTCACAGGTCACACCCAGGGTGCAGTCACCCAGCTCTGGGCAGGAGTCGGAGAAGGAAGATTACAGGGATGGGAAGATTTCTCCAGGTAACCTAGTCGTATGCAGCTCTCATGTTTATATTCTTGACTTACTTGACTTAGTCGAATTTACTCATTGTGGAACATAGGGCCTCCACCAATATTCCCTCTAAGAGGAAAAGGCTAGTGTGCAACTTGTATTTTGTGTGCGCAGTGTTCTAAAAGTCTTATACAAGGATATACGTTTTTTATAAAATGACTGCGCGGCAGGTTCAAAACCTCTGCGGGACCACGCAGCTTAGAGGGAACACTGGCCTCAACCATACCCTTCCATTTTGTCTGCTGGCTATTAATTTTACAGTCTCCCAAGACATCCCTGCTGTCTTTATTTCTTCAAGAAGACTTCACCTCCAGGTCTGTCTTGTGCACTCTCTCTTCCACTTTCCCTCTAGCGTCTGGTGTGTCACATTTGCATGAGCCTTTTGCAGTGTGTGTCCCACCCAGCGCACTTCCTCCTTCTTATTTGCACTGTCATGGTCTTATTCGTTGTCCTTCGCCATAATTCTATATTCGGCACTTTGTCCTGCCACCTTAATTTCAAAACCTAAGACATGTTTATATTCCAAGATCTGTTTATTCCTATATTTCTTAAAATAAGAAATTAACATTTAGGAATTTAGGAAATAGGCAATCAATACAAGTAAACAAATATTTTAACAATTATGTAGGCCAGTGGCATATGAAGGATTCTGTTATGTTAGTGGTTTCAAAAACAAAATCCACATGGGAACTTACATTGGGTGGTTATAACACACCCAAACACGGCTCTGTTTAAAAATCAATTAGGGTAATTTTAATCATCTTGTACATGTATATTGTGTAAAAAAAATCTATCACAGAAATAATTATATATTTCATTTTATTTAATACTAGGCATACTGCCTAGCTTCGCTTAGGTTTTTAAAAAACATTTGAGAATTTGAATACTTAATTATTTAGCGATGGATTGGGTGTGGAGTGCTTTAATAAGTTTAATTTAAACAGTAATGCTAATTTTAGAAAATAATGTTTTTGTTCGTCATTTACACTTACTTGCTGGAGAATTTCTGGAAAGTACGCAATGTATAACTAAAATGGAATTAGAACTACACAGGTTTCATGAACAGTATATCTCATAGTTTATATTACACTGCCTTTTGAAATTAATTAATTTATTTAATTAGGTTACTTAACTAAATTAGCAACTTAATTTTGTACTAAAACAAATGCTATACTTCGTCATTTTCTGTTTCTGTTTAAAATAGTATACAATTATTTGAAAAAAAATAATTTTAAAAACGTTACCTCCCTTGAAAACTGACCGTATGACGTATGTCATTGTTTACTTATATTGTTTGCTTATATAAGAAATTACGTTATATGAACATATTTAACGACTATAATGGCTGTTTATGACGGGAATAAAGTTTTTTTGTTACCCTCCATGGTCGGTCTACGACGTCACATAATATTAAGGGGATCGTTCGTCAATTTATTTATATATATATATATCTCGTATAAGGAGAATTTCACTCAAGATCATCTTTTAGCCCTCGTCGAGGGCTTTGAGTCTGACCAACAGTTTTTCCATACGGCCTAGTCATCTTTAGTAGTGTATGCAAAAACGTAGCATGATGTACAGACATTAAGTAACCTAAAAATTGTGTTAAAATTTCCCTGTTTTTCCCATAAAATACATAGATTATATAGGGAAATACAACTGGTCAGTTTTGACCGCTTTACGAAGTTTTCCCAGATATGCCGAGTTTTTTGTGACACCCCTAGGTGTTCTTCTACCACCTCACAAAATATCAAGGGGGGTCGTCGGAGGAAATTTTTTTTCGTAATAGAGCTCATATAATGAGAATTTCACTCGCGGTCACTTTTTAGCCCTCGTCGAGGGCTTTGAGTGAAACCGACAGTTTTCCCTAAAGGTCAACCCATTGACCTAGGAGCATGCAAAAAAATTAGCCAGATATACTGAGCTTAAGTACCCTAAAGTCTGCGTTGAAATGACCCTCTGTTTTTCCCATAAAATACAAAGATTATATAGGGAAATACAACTGGTCAGTTTTGACCGCTTTACGAAGTTTTCCCAGATATGCCGAGTTTTTTGTGACACCCCTAGGTGTTCTTCTACCACCTCACAAAATATCAAGGGGGGTCGTCGGAGGAAATTTTTTTTCGTAATAGAGCTCATATAAAGAGAATTTCACTCGCGGTCACTTTTTAGCCCTCGTCGATGGCTTTGAGTGAAACCGACAGTTTTCCCTAAAGGTCAACCCATTGACCTAGGAGCATGCAAAAAATTAGCCAGATATACTGAGCTTAAGTACCCTAAAGTCTGCGTTGAAATGACCCTCTGTTTTTCCCATAAAATACAAAGATTATATAGGGAAATACAACTGGTCTGTTTTGACCCCTTTACGAAGTTTTCCCAGAAATTGCCGAGTTTTTTGTGACACCCCTAGGTGTTCTTCTACCACCTCACAAAATATCATGGGGGGTCGTCGGAGGAAATTTTTTTTCGTAATAGAGCTCATATAAAGAGAATTTCACTCGCGGTCACATTTTAGCCCTCGTCGAGGGCTTTGAGTGTAACCGACAAATTTCCCTAAAGGTCAAGCCATTGACCTAGGAGCATGCAAAAAATTAGCCAGATATACTGAGCTTAAGTACCCTAAAGTCTGCGTTGAAATGACCCTCTGTTTTTCCCATAAAATACAAAGGTTATATAGGGAAATACAACTGGTCAGTTTTGACCGCTTTACGAAGTTTTCCCAGATATGCCGAGTTTTTTGTGACACCCCTAGGTGTTCTTCTACCACCTCACAAAATATCAAGGGGGGTCGTCGGAGGAATTTTTTTTTCGTAATAGAGCTCATATAAAGAGAATTTCACTCGCGGTCGCTTTTTAGCCCTCGTCGAGGGCTTTGAGTGTAACCGACAGTTTTCCCTAAAGGTCAAGCCATTGACCTAGGAGCATGCAAAAAATTAGCCAGATATACTGAGCTTAAGTACCCTAAAGTCTTTGTTGAAATGACCCTCTGTTTTTCCCATAAAATACAAAGATTATATAGGGAAATACAACTGGTCAGTTTTGACCCCTTTACGAAGTTTTCCCAGATATGCCGAGTTTTTTGTAACACCCCAAGGTGTTCTCCTACCACCTCAGAAAATTTCAAGGGGGGTCGTCGGAGGAATTTTTTTTTCGTAATAGAGCTCATATAAAGAGAATTTCACTCGCGGTCACTTTTTAGCCCTCGTCGAGTGCTTTGAGTGTAACCGACAGTTTTCCCTAAAGGTCAAGCCATTTACCTATAAGCATGCCAAAACTGAGCCACATGTAAAGAGAGTAAGTGCCATAAAATCCGTTTTGAAATGACCCTCTGTTTTCCCCATAAAATACAAAGATTATATAGGGAAATACGACTGGTCAGTTTTGACCCATTTCCCGATTTTTCCCGGACATGGCGAGTTTTTTGTGACACCCCAAGGCGTTCTCCTACCACCTCACAAAATATCAAGGGGGGTCGTCGGAGGAATTTTTTTTTCGTAATAGAGCTCATATAAAGAGAATTTCACTCGCGGTCACTTTTTAGCCCTCGTCGAGTGCTTTGAGTGTAACCGACAGTTTTCCCTAAAGGTCAAGCCATTTACCTATAAGCATGCCAAAACTGAGCCACATGTAAAGAGAGTAAGTGCCATAAAATCCGTTTTGAAATGACCCTCTGTTTTCCCCATAAAATACAAAGATTATATAGGGAAATACGACTGGTCAGTTTTGACCCATTTCCCGATTTTTCCCGGACATGGCGAGTTTTTTGTGACACCCCAAGGCGTTCTCCTACCACCTCACAAAATATCAAGGGGGGTCGTCGGAGGAATTTTTTTTTCGTAATATAGCCCATATAAGGCGCCGGTCAGTCGAGGTCAGTTTTGACCCCCGCTCCGTAGACTTTTTGCCGAACCGTCACCGGCCCTCGTGTTCTATCGCCATAAGGCACCTTCGTGCCAAATTTGACGCGCCTGCGGCACCGGGAAGTGCCCTATCGGGCACCTGACCACTTTGCTTTATATATATAGATTGCACTATTTATCACAAGTAGAGCCAGTGTGCAGTCACTGTGTCCTTCAAAAATTAAATGATGTCCAAAAAATGTATTTTTTTTTTAAATACCTATCTTATTGAATTTTTTGCCTCCTTGAACTATGTGTCAGCGAATTCTATAAGATAAAATTGCATCAAATTATTCATATTTATCTTCTAGTTAAATATATAATGTTCTAATAAGAATCTGCCTTTGGTAGATTTCTATTAAGATAATGAGATATGCTAAAGACTGCTCTTTTATGGCAATAGTCTCTGTAAGTTGTGGTTGAGACACAAAACTATCCCTTTAAGTGTTAATAAATATAAGGAAAGTACTCTTTCGAACATTATGGTCCACTGGACAGATGAAGTAGAGAACTGTTTCAGTGATCTCAGCATATGAATGGATAGTGTGGTCAGCACTATGCCCAGCAGCTTTTAGCTTCTCTAATGTGAGTCAGGTACCCATCATAGCTGGGTGGACTCAGGGATGTCTCATGGACTTGAGCCTGGGATCCAAACTCGACACCTTTGTTTTAGCAATCGAACTCTCTGCTATGCAACCACGCCCTCTTTTATAAACATAAAAACCATAAAAACCATTTTAAAAACCGCACTTAATGTGAAAAATAAAAACTTGTTCCACAGACCCAGAGAGTGAAGCTAAAATCTCTGAGGTGGCCGAATCAGTGGCCACTGGTGCGTCAGATTACTTCACACCTCCTGTGTCTCCGTCAACGACCACCCCCAACAGCCCTGTACATGAAGCCAGCAGCTCCGGCTCCTCTCCTGTCAAATCTGTGCAAGAGGATCCTAAGGTAAATTATGATAAGGCCAGATTAAGGTGTTGGTTTCCTGTGGCCAGATTAAGATGTTGGTTTCCTGTGGCCAGATTAAGGTGTTGGTTTCCTGTGGCCAGATTAAGGTGTTGGTTTCCTGTGGCCAGATTAAGGTGTTGGTTTCCTGTGGCCAGATTAAGGTGTTGGTTTCCTGTGGCCAAATTAAGGTGTTGGTTTCCTGTGGCCAGATTAAGGTGTTGGTATTCTGTGGCCAGATTAAGGTGTTAGTTACCTGTGGCCAGATTAAGGTGTTGGTATTCTGTGGCCAGATTAAGGTGTTAGTTTCTAGTGGCAAGATTAAGGTGTTGGTTTCTTGTGACCAGATTAAGGTGTTGGTTTCCTGTGGTTAGATTAAGGTGTTGGTTTCCTGTGGCCAGATTAAGGTGTTAGTTACCTGTGGCCAGATTAAGGTGTTGGTATTCTGTGGCCAGATTAAGGTGTTAGTTTCCAGTGGCAAGATTAAGGTGTTGGTTTCTTGTGACCAGATTAAGGTGTTGGTTTCCTGTGGTTAGATTAAGGTGTTGGTTTCCTGTGGCCAGATTAAGGTGTTGGTTTCCTGTGGTCAGATTAAGGTGTTAGTTTCCTTTGACCATATCATGTTTCAAGGAATTGATTTCCTGTTTTGTTAAACTAAATTTTGAAATACAAAATAGATGGTTATGTTATGTCATTCTGCACCTTTCTAAAATACCAAAATGCATTTGGAAAACTTTTTTCATAAATTTCTGCTTAAATGTTTTTTTAATTGAACAATACACAATGACAAATAAAACTATAATTAAAATATATATTACAAAAAATAGCAACAAAAACAATTTTGCTACAAAAAACTTAATGTGGTCTCTTGTTTTTAAAGCTAGCCAATACATCCAATCACTTCACTTAATAACTTATTTTCTATGTGGCCCCTGAGGAGAAAAGGGCTGCTGCCACACCTCTCCATTAGGCTTTATTTTTAGTAGCTCTCTGTATTTGCGGCCTTGTAAACCATGCATCCCTTGCCTCATCTTTCAGAATTTCCTTGGCTGGCCTACTTTCTCTTCCCCTGGGGATTTCAGTTTAATATAAATACTTTCTCCAATTTTTTAATGTAAATAAGTTTATTTGTATCTGTTTTTTATTATTATACGAAGAAACTGCTTTCTAATTCAATAATACCTTGGATAATTTTCACAGGAAGAATTACAAAAAAAATCAACACATCGCCAACAGAGTAATGGCGCCGTACCCGCCAGTGACTTCGCCCCCCTGTTGGAGGTACCTGCTCCTGTTTTCAAACCGAGCGGCTCAAAGACCGGCAGCTACGGTGGCAGCCGTACCAGCATGCTACACATCCACAGCATCAACTCGCTCCACGTCTCCAAGAAGGACCTGTCCCGTCCCATGTACCGCAAGGACATCTTCTACAGCGGCAGCGTCCTGAACATTCCGGAATACAAGTCTCAGACGGACATCCGCAGCTTCATCACCAGCATCACCACCATCCCCGGGGAGATGGAGTTTGTGGACGGGCCAAGCCCGTCCTCGCGGTGCATCAACAGCCTGTGCAGCTTCCTGCCGCGGTCCGTGCGGGACATTTTGAGCGAGATGGTGGACATTTCCCTGTTTAAGGATATCAGCTTCATGCTGATTTGCTTGGGGAACATCACTGCCTTCTTAGGGTTTTATATTCCGTTCATGTTTCTGGTAGATAGGGCGGTCCTGCTGGATGTTGATAAATCTAATGCAGCATTTCTGATCTCCATAATAGGTGAGCTCCACTTTTATAAATATTCAATTGAATACACTCAGACATAGATTCTATAGAGAAGAGCTATATTAATATAATTTATTTTATAATTTGTTTTAATTTTTTAAATTTTTATTTTGATCTACTGGAAAACATAATAAAATAATATATTTTACCTGTTTGTAAACAATTTTAAAAAAAAAATTGTTTTAATATTATAAATGCGCTGGAAAACATACTAAATTAATAGATTTTGCCTGTTTGTAAGCAATTTAAAAAAAAAATTTTTAATATTTTAAACGCGCTGGAAAACTAATAAAATGATACATTTTGCCAGTTTGTAATGTAATCTATATATATTTTTATTTTAAATTTTTAAATTCACTGGAAAACACATGATATATTTTGCCAGTTTGTAATCTATTTGTTTTTTATTCTTGACAGGTATAACAAACACAGTAGGTCGAGTCATTGTTGGCAAACTGGCAGACCTTCACATCATTGATAGTCTTATCATCACCTATGTATCCATAGCATTGTGTGGGTTGGTTGTTGCTGTTGTTCCATTCTGTAACACCTACCCTCTCCTGGCAACCAATGCAGCTATCTTTGGCCTCGGCATGGGTAAGCTGCAGTTTTTATTTGTTTCGTTGCCTTGTTACCATTTTGTTTTTAAGTTTGAATTTTAAAATTTTTAATCAAACTATACATTTTTTAAGAATTTTTATTAATTTATAGCCTATTTTTATTAACGCAAAACAAAAACCTCAAGTTCAATATTTTTTATCAAGATTTTATTTTTCCCAAAAAAATCTTTGGAATAATTCTTTGCATACATTATGAAATTGATGATTGAATATCAGTCTTGGAAAAGTAATAGATCTAAGGTTTCAGGTCAAAAATGTTATTGGGAAAGGTTGTTGAAATGTAACAATACAATTAGTACTTAGATCACTGTATGTGTACATTTTAGCTTGCACAATGTACCAATTAGTTGTTTAATGCCTTGACTTGCAGTGGTGCTTAGATCACTGTGTGTTTACATTTCAGCAGTCACAATGTACCAATTAGTTGTTCAATGTAGTGGTACTTAGATCAATGTGTGTACATTTTAGCTTGCACAATGTACCAATTAGTTATTTAATGCCTTGATTTGCCGTGGTACTTAGATCAATGTATGTTGTATGTTTCAGCAGGCACAATGTACCAATTAGTTGTTTAATGTAGTGGTACTTAGATCAACGTATGTTGTATGTTTCAGCTGCCTTTATTTCCCTGTCGTCCATTGTAATCTGTGATCGTATGGGACTGGAAAAGCTAACCAATGCCTTTGGGCTTATGTCTATGGTGCGTGGCATCGCTGGAATGGCTGGTCCTCCATTAGCAGGTAATTAAGCTCATTTCACCCTAATTAATTGATTACTTTTTATCTAAATCCTAAGTGACTGCTGCTTTAGAAAACCCCACTGATACAAGAAAAAAATAATTGTAGCATACTAGTAATAAAGGAAACAAGTTTTAATTTTAAAAAGTATTTGGATTGATTTTGATACCTGAATATTAAACAGTTTATAAAAATCTTAAAACATATCCGTTATGGTTAAGCCAACATACATATTGTTATTTTAAACAATCATACAGGCCAATCCAAATATCAATAGGCCTACCTGTCTTATTGTCTAAATTAAATGTTTGAATTTCAATTACTTACTAATGAGATACATATAACTAATTGACTTGATTGTTCAAACAGGTTTCCTGTACGATGCCACGGGCGATTACGATCTGTCTTTCTACATCGGGGGTCTGCTCCTGTTTGTTGGCGCTGCCTGCCATTGTCTTCTGCACCTCCCATGCCTAAAGTGTGTATACCTAGATCAAAACTAATCAAAACTTTTATAGTTTTTGTATACCTAGATCAAAACTCTCATAGTTCTTGTATACCTAGATCAAAACTAATAGTTTGTGTATACCTAGATCAAAACTCTCATAGTTTGTGTATACCTAGATCAAAACTCTCATAGTTCTTGTATACCTAGATCAAAACTAATAGTTTGTGTATACCTAGATCAAAACTCTCATAGTTTGTGTATACCTAGATCAAAACTCTCATAGTTCTTGTATACCTAGATCAAAACTAATAGTTTGTGTATACCTAGATCAAAACTTTTATAGTTTGTGTATACCTAGATCAAAACTCTCATAGTTTTTGTATACCTAGATCAAAACTCTCATAGTTTTTGTATACCTAGATCAAAACTCTCATAGTTTTTGTATACCTAGATCAAAACTCTCATAGTTTTTGTATAAGCCTACATGGATCAAAACTATAATAGTTTTTGTATACCTAGATCAAAACCCTAACAATTTTGATATATTTGGATCAAAACTTTAATAGATTTCATAAACCTGAATCAAAACTTTAAAGCACAACATTTTAGTCTTAACTTGATGCATTGATTATGACATTTAATTTCATGCTGTGTCTATAACCTTGACATTCATGCTTGTCTTTAGCCTTGAACTCTGGGTTTAACTTTTAACATTGCTTTCTATATACAGGCAGGATCCCAAAGTTACCAACACAACCGTAGAAGCGCCACCAGATGAAATTCTAGAACTTATAGGCTCCAAACCACAGATAATTACAGTGGACGAGGCGTTATCAGCAGTATGATTTAAAGAATAAACAATTTATTTTTAATTACAGAGGATAAAACATTATCAGCAGTATAATTTAAAGAATAAATAATTAATTTTCAATTACCGTGGACAAAGAAATATCAACAGTATAATTTTAAAAATAAACTAATAATGTTTAATTACAGTGGACAAAGCATTAACAACAATATTAGGCTTATAATTTAAATCATTAACAATTAATTTTCTTTAAAGAGGAAAATTGTACAAATCTGTTAACACTGGTGCTGCACTGACTTCTTCTTACTCTATATAGACCTATAATTTTAATAACAATGAAATGTGTTAGTAACCAATATAGCTTTACAACAATTTTAATAGCTTTTCGAAACTCTAATATCATGGATATTAGAAATTTATAATCCAAAAAGTTTCAAATTTGCAATAATAGTTAGTGAACAAATTAATGACTTAAATTTATGAGTAGATAATGAAATTATCAACTGTTAAAAAATAATATTTTAAAGCCAATTAACAGATAAAAATTTGTTTACACCAGTTATAAATTATAAAGGTTATAAATAAAAATAAAAGTATTCACTGCTGAGGAAAAACTCATTTAACAAAATACTTGTTTACTTTGTAATTGCTCATTATTAAATCATATCATTGGTTTTTTTTAATCAGGGAAGAAAAGGGTATTCAATTGTTTATAGACAGATCAGATTGTTTAATAGTACTGATTGTGGAAGATTGTATGCAAGTGTGTATTCAGTGTTTTTTTGTGAGTGGTTTAAAAATTAATGCAAGCTGTGTCAGTTGTTAAAGTTTATGATTATTTTGGTTTTATCCTTAGTTTTTGTTTTATATTGTTTCATTGATTGTTTTCATATAGCTTTCAGTACGGAGTATTGAACTTCTGAAATGTTTAATGCAAAACAATGCATCAAACAGATTTAGCAATATTTTGTTTTAAGGTTCAAATTTATATCCAAGCTTCTGCATTTAGTTATTTTAAATTTTTATTTACAAATATGAATTCAATTTTTGTTTTATACAAATCTTAAAAAAAAATCGTTTCAATACCTTAATGTTTAGTTCCCAGTTTACATAAAGATCACATAATGTATTATTTGCAATTAATTAAAATGTGTATACAAAATGTTCATACTTATCTTTTACCTTGCATTCACTATTACAAAATTGTCAAAAAGACCAATTTTGTTTAATTTTTAAAGATTTGCTTTGCTTTTAGAAGATTGACAACTTTAGCGTATGATAAAAAGTGTCATATTTGATGTAATATAAATTGATTATTATCAAATTATATTTGATATATAAATAGTTTAATACCATCTATACTAATGGCAGCTTCAAGATTTCCTAAACAACCAAGCTATATAATTTTTTTAAAATTTAAACTAAATCAAACAGTATATTTTGTTCAAAATTTTCTCAATTTTAAATAAATGGCAATATATAAACAGATTTTTCAAAACTATCAAAATTGGTCCCTTATCCCATCTTTACAGTGTGTTTGCTGTATATAGTTAAAAATTCATGTAATGCATAATTGTAAACAATAATTAAATTCATGTATGAGTTTTTGTGCGTTCTAACAGTAAACTTAGAATTTTAAAAACAGATTTAAATATTAAATTAGATTTCTTTAAAAATACAATGGTTATAACATTACTTTGCATAAAACGTTAAAATTTTAGCTATATACAATTTTATTCTTTGCATTTACATTTTATTTGTACATATTTTTAATGAAATTACAATAATATAATTTCATTCTTCAAGTCCCCATAATCTACACTGTTTTTTTTATTATCATTCTAATACCATTGTTATGTATACAAACCCTTCCTGTTGTCTATTTTTTGTTTAGAAAATTTAATATTGTGATAAAATTCATGATTCCATTCTTCAGTAAAATCTTTAAAGATTTTTAAAAATAAATATTGTTTTTGTGTACCCAGATTCATTGATTTTTAAATTTTATTTTACGTCAATTCTGTTGTTCTTTTAATACATATTTACTTTTTTGTTTAATGTGTTTACAGTTTTAAAATAATTTCAGTTGTTTTATTTTTAAACTTAACTTTTTTTTTTTTACTTTTGTTATTATTACAATATTGTTTGTATTAGATGTAAAAACAGTAGCAATGATCTGTAGATTATTTCATTATCTAACAATTTAATAGAGGCTAATAGAACTTCGTAACAATGGGTTTGATGTATTGATGCTTAACTCATTGTTCCTTCTATCAGCATGATGCCATAGGCTTTAATAATACAGTATTGTTTTAAATGATAGTTTATCCTTCAAACTAGCCATTTCTTTTACTCTTTTAACAAAAATAATGTCAATAAAAATTTTTAATTGTTTCCTACTTATATCATAAACATATTTTGTAATTTGGTTAAATCATGATTTGATAAAAAAGAAATGCATTAATTGTTGTAGCATTGTCTTTCATGTTGATCATTATGGAATTTGGATTAACCCAAATGTTTAATTAAATAATAATTAACAAGTATCATACGCCTGCCACTAATTTAAATAGTATAGTCTAGTAAATAAGTAGATCTATACTATAAGGCTTGATTGAATTAAAACATTTTGTATTTTTATTATTATCAATAAAAATCTTTCTAGATCTAATATAATATATATCAAATAGCATTCAAGTTCATCAAAGTTAAAATATTTTTGTTATTTTTATTTTATTTCTTGTAATTTTCTTTGTTCAGTTGATTGAGTGGGGAAAATTAGAAATAGCTCTAGGATCTAGTATCTAGCTTTTGTTAGAACTTAATCAAAGGGCGCTAACTGCCGTTAACTGCGTCCTTAGTTACTTAAATAGGTGATTTAGTGGCCAGATTTCATACGTTTGAAAAGCCTATTCTTATTATTAAAACTGTGAGAAACTGTTGTACGTTTTGTAAACAAACTAAAATGTTTTGTTACTTTTTCACGTTTCTCCTATTCCTTACAGAAAATAAAAAAATGTTTATTATACAAAAACATATTGTTTCGCTCTTTAAATACGTTCATTTTCATTCTTTTCACCATTTGCTAACTGCAGTAAGTAGATTAACTATCATCCTATAACCCCTCTCGAGCAGTCGAGCGTTCGACTGTTGAAAGTTGAGTTCTGCTCCGAACTCAGTTGGACGAACCTGAGTCCACCCAGCTCTAATGAGTACCTGACTCGCGTTATGGAAAGTGAAGTCGGATGAGTAAAGTGCTGAGTCTACTATCCCTTCATAAGCTGAGGACTATCACAAACATCACCTGCCCTATGGACCTTAAGGATTGAAAGTGTACTTTTTAACATCCCTTCTTGCTTGTAGATAAGCTTATTTTTTTTTCTTCTTTTTTTGTTTCGCCTCAGACATGTAATTTACCGCGTCAGTTTGCCTTGCATGTTCGCTTTAGTATTACAGTTTTCATCATCGGCTTGTGAAGACCTATACAGATTTACAATGGTAATACCTCTTTCTTACTTGTAGCCTACTTTCATTCAATTTAAGATGGTTTACTTATACATTTAATAAATTTAAAAAAAAAAAACAACTGAAAAGTAAGTGTGTAATTAAATTATGGTTCAATGCATTGTTTTCCACCGGCGTGGTGGGCTAAGAGGGGTGGGGGATTTTAAGTAGAGCTGAAATAAATTTAATTCTTTTGTCTTAACACATTAAAAAAAAAGCTTATCTTTGAAACATGAAGTGACGGTAGTAATTTAACAGGTAAACTGTTGAGTGTTATGATATGTGAAAATGCTAACTTATAGGGTACATAATTAATGAATAAGTTAAAAAAAAAGTAGTAAAGATTAATAACCCCTACATCTGAAGCTCATAATAAATAAGTTATAAAACTTGAAAACAAAGTAGTAAAAATTCAAATTAAATTAGTAGTCCATTAAATTTGAAGTTCATAATGAACAAGTTTTAGAACTTGGAAACAAAGTATAAATGTATAGTGTCCCCTTGATTGAGCGGGTTATAAAGAATCACATTTAGTTGTCTCCCCTGTGTTCAGGAATCGTGTGGCCGGTTCTCTGCCCGGTTATGCTTAACCACCAGCACCAACAGACTTAAAACACAAAACCACCTTGACCTGGTTACCTACCATCAGAAACCATAACACCGTGAAATAAAATGGAACTCGACATCAAGCAACGAAACCTTAATTAAACCATTGATGTCTTCTTTAGCCTCGCCAACAGCTTAATTAATACTAATCACTGCCCAGTATGGCACTTAAACATAACCTACTAGTGGCCTACGCCCAGCATGAACCTTAAACAAAACCTACTAATTCCGTATACCCAGCTTGATACAGAGGCGTAGCGACCCTTCCCGGCGCCCGGGGACAAACTTTCGATTTGCAACCCCCCCCCCCCTCGAACTTTTCATTTGCACACCCCCCCTCAAACTTTCGATTTGCACCCCCCCCCCCTTCCTCGAACTTTTCATTTGCACCCCACCCTCAAACTTTCAATTTGCCCCCCCCCCCCCCCCCCAAGGCGCTCGGGGACATATGTCCCCCCCCCGCCCTCCCCTCGCTACGCCTCTGGCTTGAAACGTACATACAACATACCAATGCCCTATGCCCAGTACGATACCTAAAGATAACCTTCCAATGCCCTATGTCCAGTACGATATCTAAATATAACCTATTAATACCCAAAGCCCAGAATAAAAAAAAAAAAAAAAATAACCTTCCAGCGCCCTATGCCCAGAATGAAACCTAAATATATTACCTACGAATGGCCTATGCCCAGAATAAAAACTAAAGAAACAACCTTCCAATGCCTTATGCCCACAATGAGATCTAAATATAACACCAATGCCCTATGCCCACTATGAAACTAAACACACACCATCCCACCAATAAAACAGGTCACAAACTACAATACCCCCCCCCCACCCCACCCCCACCCCCCGAAATATGTTTTTAATTCTCGTATAGTCCATGTCTGTCTCTTCATATGCAGTGGCGTAGCTAGGATTTTTGGGCCCCTATGCAAAAAGTGTTAGTGGGCCCCTCTGAGGCGTGGCGACCCTTCCCGGCGACCGGGGACAAACTTTCGATTTGCACCCTCCTTCCCCCCCCCCCTCAAACTTTCGAAAAAGGGCCCCTATTTGCCTTGGGCCCCTATGCCTTGCTTACGCTAGCTTTACGGTAGCTACGCCACTGTTCATACGTCCCTTAGCTTAAGACCCGTATCGACTGGCTATATTATTGAGTGCCACCACATTCAGGTGACGTTGTACGCATGACAGCATACAGCTTTCTTTCAGTGCATGTGTTAATGGCTCCACACTACATATCTACCCCTACATAGCCACATACATCTACACATAGAATGTGTAACGATTTCTGGGATAGAGATTTTTGGCGTTGAACAGCGGGTTTAAATACTATTCTGACGGAGGTTTTGTTTTATTGAAGATGAAATTTGTATTTCAAAATGTAGGATCTGGAGCAATGGATTTAAATTCAGAGAAATTATACTCTATGCTATAAGAGTAAGTTTTTTTTTCTAATATTTAGCTTTTTTATAAGTATGTTCTGGGTAGTCGGAGGAAGCGCATGGCAGCTAACCCGAATGTCTCGAGTTCGAATCCTGTGTACGAGTCTGTAGAACGTCAGTGAGTCCACTTAGCTCCGAATAGTACCTAACTCACGCTAGGTAAAGTAAAAGCGACTGGGCATAGAGCTGACCACACTATTCCTTCATATGACAAGGCCACAGACACAGGTGAACTCTACTTTATCGCGAGGTCAAAAAGGGTAACTTTCCTTTTTACATAGGAGATGTAGTGGCACCCTATAAACTTGCTACAATAAAAACCACTAAAAAACGAACCCTACAAATGAAACCACTAAAACAACGAACCCTATAACTGAAACCATTAAAATAACGAACCCTACAAATGAAACCACTAAAACAACGAACCCTCCAACTAAAACTACTAAAACAACGAATCCTACAAATGAAACCACTAAAATAACGAACTCTAAAAACAAGTTACGAACACTTCTTTCTGAAGACCCAAAGTGACCTTTTTTCGTCATGCGCTGTTACGCTTCAGCAAGTTTCATATGTCTGAAATGGGGATCAGCTGTTTGGTACGTCTGCCAGTGTATAGAGCCTGTCACTATTTTTAATCATATCTAGGTCACATAATCCTTAACGGTGTGTGACAAAGAGAATATAGGAGGGGGGGGGGGTGTCCGAAATTGTGACGTCACATTTTTGCGTTTCAAAACTGATTGGTTTCAGCTTTTCGCATTAAAAAAGAATTTATTTAAAATGATAATAAGTGTGTTAAAAAAATTAAACATACTCATATTAGAAATCGCTAAAGTGTGGAGGTTGTGACACTTAGGGGAGGGGGGAGATTTTGTGACGATGTGTGACGATGGAAAGGGAGGGGGATAAAAAAAATTGTCCAAAAAAAAAAAGCTTTGCGTTATTTAAAAACGGCTTTTTTAATCTTTTATCGATAAATGTAAACTTTAAAAGATTTTTGAATACTATAGCCAGTCCCACTTATTTTAACCAAACCAAGTGTTTATAGTCAAATATTTAATTTTTTTTTTTGTTTAAAAAAAGTATTTTTAGTGCCACGGACTTATAAAACTCCTTAAATTTGTCTTTTCATTATGTTTCATATCGTTAAATGTAAAAAGTAAAGATTCCCATTCAAAACGTAACGATCGTTTGGGCTTATGTTTCCTGGCCTCGGGATATAAAAAGATGTTGTGGTCAGCACTATGCCCAGCCGCCTTTACTTTCCCTAAAGTGAGTCAGGTACTCATCAGAGCTGGGTGGACTCAGGAACACCCTAAAAACTCGAATCTGGTATCCGAATTCCAGACTTTCGTAGCAATCGTAAGCGCTACCTTCCGATCACGCTGTCCATTACTCGTAATATAAGGGAGTAATTTACAGCTTCATTTTACTTCCCCAATCGCGAGTCGGGTACCCATTAGAGCTGGGTGGACTCAGGGACGTCCTACAGATTCTCGAGTGCGTTTTTCATATTATCATGCTCTATCTAAATTTGTAAGTCATTTCAAAAAGTTTCCGTGTTATTTCGTTTGCTAGAAAAGGGAGTTCTCTTGAACAAACATCAAAAACATTTTGTTTTTTGCCTTATGTGCACCGGATTCAAGCCTTATCACGCAATCTGACGTCAACAACAGACGACCATATTACCCGATACTGGGTGACGATTGGTCACAAAGTCGGCGTTATTCGACCCTCCAAAATTTTAATTGTCAAAATTTTAACAGCGAATACACGGGTAAGAATAGAGAATCCTTGAAAAGGTCGAAGAAGTAAGTCAAGAACATCGTGTTTTTCCACCCAGCACCTTCAACCTCGGTCTTGTGTCGTAGGGTGGCAGTTGCGAAGTGAATCTTTAACTGGTGAAGTTCTAGTTTTAATCTTAGACTTTTTTAGCAAGTGTTCGTGATTTTTGTTTCTTTCGGAGATTGCTGGGTTTTAGAATTACCAGGTTAGTCTAATTGTTGTAGTGACTTTTGAGAATGTTTTGATTTTAAATTATTCCATAGGCCGGTCTATGTTGTCGATGGTTTTAGAAGTGCATTTAATGGCACTAAATTAATTTGGTTAATCAATAAAATAGTATAATATAGTTTAAGTTTCGATAATTTAATTCAGTTACTTTAGAATAATGCTAGTGATATGGAAAGTAATTTGGTAATTTACTATTTTCAAAAAGGAAAACATTAAATGTCGAAAATTTGCTCTGGAATTGAATAATTTTTAATTTTTAATTAAGTTGTTAATTTTTATTTTAATATAAATTTTTTCGAGTTCTTGGATAAGTTTTTAAAGAAAAGTGTCATACAAACCGAGTAAAGCTGCTAAAGAAAAACGCAATCCAGAAATATTTAAAAGTACAGTGCATGTACAGTAATTAATAAACAATAAACTACAGTACAATTATGAATTACCAACAGGCAGTTTCGAT